CCCGCCACCATTCTGTGTTTCTGTGATTCTGTACGGCGACGACCTGGGGGCGAGGAAGAGGAGGCACTGCAGGCAGGGGCAGTGGGGAACGGCACGCAGACCCTACTGCAGCCAGCCGATGGGATGGTCACACCATTGTCTCTTTGGGGGACAGGCATGTAGTGATAGGACAAGGGGCAATGGCTCTAAACTAAAAAAGGGTAAATTTAGATAAGATGTAAGAAAGAAATTCTTTACTGTGAGGGTGGTGAGGCACTGGCAGAGGTTGCCCATAGAAGCTGTGGGTGCCCCCTCCCTGGAAGTGTTCAAGGTCAGGTTGGATGGGGCTTTGAGCAACCTGGTGTAGTGGCAGGTGTGCCTGCCCATGGCAGGGGGTTTGGAACTACATGGTCTTTAAGATCCCTTCCAACCCAAACCATTCTATGATTCTGTTTTTTACCAGCCGATGCTCTTCCCAATCCCCTCCCTGCTGAGGGGCTGCACGTTGGCACCAGCCCTTCAGGGTGGGAGAGCATCTCCCCAGCTCGCTCACCACCCACCTCTGCTCCCCCGACGTGCTGAGGGGATGGGGCCACCAGCCAGCTGCGATCGGCCAGCAGCAGGTCCCACGCAGCTCTGCCCTGCCCGACTGCCAGGGCGCGAAGGACGCACGACCCCTGCAAGGTTGGCCAGCTGTCCACTCGGCCAGCAACCCTGCTTCCTTGGCCTGGCTGAAATATTTATAACTACCTCACTGTGCGAGGTCTCAACTCCATTAAAACTCAGGAAAGTTTATCATGATAAATTATTCAGTGGCAGGTTTATTTTTGGGCCATGGCACACAAGGATGAGGAAGTCTCTCTAGGGGTGGAGAGCAGAGAGGTTGGCGGGTTGATGCGGAGAGGTTGGGGGGTTGATCCCTAACCTGCCAGGAAGAGCACATCTGCTCCTCCTGGCACAACACGCACACAACAACTTTTAAACTTTAAGCACAGCAACTCCTCCTCCTCTCCTTCCAGCTCAGGGATGCTGACCCAAATTGTTGGAGACTCCTTTGGCAGCGTTTCCTGCCAAACCCACCGCTTCTCAGACCTCCCGAAGAAGCCCTTCTCTGCCACTCAATCCACAGGCTGAAGGGGAACTCAATGCCTCAGGATGTCCTTCAGCACCACCAGCTGCAGACATCTGTGCTACGGGCACACATGGATGCCCCAACTGTGCTGGGTACTGAGAGATTCAGCCCCTCTGAAGGGCCTGCAACCTACAACAGCTGAACACAAGGCAAGGGAGAGGCAAAGCACAAACAAAAGATGTGAAGAAGCAAAACCATCTTCTCCCCCCAAGATGTAAAACTTAGCTGGGAACCAGGGAGGGACAATACCCAAGTGCGATGCTTTCCTGGGACAGAAAAATGCTGTCCTGACTCCTTTTTCTCCTGACACACTCACAACCACTCTTGCCTTTCCCTTCTCACCACCGCTTATATTAGAGCCTTCAGAAAATATTTTTCACACAGTTATAACCCTGCTCCCAGCTGCCTTGCCATGGACAGCCGAAGCCTTAAGCCCAGCCAGCAGCACCCACCTGCACTGCCGTGGGAAACGGCGGCGTTTCAGGAGATGGAACTGCTCCGGAGAGCTGTCGACCCCCCGCCCCCCCAGCCACTGTCTTGAACTGACACGGCCCTCTCCAGCTGGCAGCTCCGCCAGCTTCCCGGCCTGACCTCACACACCCCCACCAACAGGTCAAGCTGAAAAGATGTTCTGCTCCCAGCCTATATCCTAAAACCCCGGTCTACTTCATCAAAGACACTGACAGGCTCCCAGCTCCTCTTCGCTTGTTCATCTGAAGGTCTGTTCTCCTCCTCCTTACCTGCAGAGCTTTCTCATCCAGCACTCGGTGCTTGCTCTGAATCTTGTGTCTTGGGCATTTCTGTTTTGCTGGGTCTTCTGCACCAGCAAAAATTGAGCTGTACTCCTGCAGCCGCTCAGGGGCTGGATACTTGGCACTGGAAAATACCTGTGGAGAGACAAGGAGGGACTGAAAAATTCCAACTAGGCAATCCTACGCTACAGAAAAGGCACACAGTCTGTGCTGCAGGCAGGAATGGACAGCCTTAGAGTCAACAGACTCATACAAGGTATCTGCACAGGCCCAAACATGCATGGGCTGTCACTTCAGAAAGTGGAAGTGCCAGACCTTCTCTCTTTTATACAAGTACTAGGAGATCATAGGCTTCTGCTGGCAGCAAGTGAATTTGAAACACTGCATTAAATGGAGGAAGAATAGGGAAAGGAGAGTTTTCACCAGTTTTACACAGCTCAACAAGATTAAGATGCACTAAGGGGAGGCTCTCCAACAGGAGCTTTCACTGAAATAGCCAGTGTCTATAGGCCCGAAGTGCGAGTGTGTTGGGCTTAGCTCAGCACGTGCCTTTTCTCTTTCTCAGGGAGAAGCTGGGGCAGCAACTTATTTAGGCCTCGTAAGGTTAGGAGCTGCGCGGGTCATGGGTCTAAAAATCATCAGCTGGCCAAGTCAGGAAGGGGGTTCTCATCAGAACCCTGCTCAGCAGCAAGGCGTGGAGAGGTGGGCGGGCAGCAGCTGCGCCAGCCGAGCACCCGCTCTTCTCCAGAGCTGACATCAGGAGGAAAGGGAGAAGGTGAAAGGAAGATGGGAAGCCATGCAGCCGCCACTGCAGTCACTACCTTGATAGCCTTCTTGCTGCCCTTTATCTTCTCAATCTTCGCTTGGGCCAGCGTGACTCTCTCACCGATTGCCCGAAGCTGCGCCCGGCTGGCCTCCACCCGCTGAGAGATCCTAGGAGGCAAGCACCTTTCTTAAGACAAAGAATCCAGAGTCAGAGACTTTTTGGCAACAGCCAGTGCCCAGGCCCTCAGAGGAGGAGGAGAAACTCGGTGGGCTGGATTATCCCATAGGGCAAAACAGTGCTGGTTGAGATATGCTCGTCTCGGTCCCAGTGCGAGCTTTATGTGCTCGGACATGAAGGCAGGCCTAGCCCGTGACTGCGGCACAACGCTCCCGCAGCCGTCTGAGGCACCGCACAGAAAGATGGAGAACCGCAGCGTTTTTGCGACACCGGAGTGCCACAAGCCCCAGGTCTCCCTGCAGGTACTGCCGAGGAGAAAGCCACGGCCAGTTACCAACTGCCAACGTGTTTTTAATAAAAATGACTTGTTAAAAATGGCAGGCAACACATGGTAATGAGCAGACTTCAGGACTCACAAGGCTTCTCCTGTCCTCTACCATAACAGCAGTTTGTTGCACGACTTCTTCCACGGTGCTTTGCAGCTTTGTGATTCGGTTTCCACACAGCTAAAGAACATTAGGACCTCTTTCAGAGCAACAAAGCATGCTAACTTGCATAATTTTTGCACAACTAGATCAGCATCAAAATGTTTTGAGACTGAGGCAGCAAGGGATAGCGGTCACTGGTAAAAGTAGGTCTGCGCTCACCACGTGGACATGCTCCTTTCCCACAAAGCTCATAGCAGATGCCTTGCAGCCAGGGGCACGACTGAAATGGCCACCATCTCGTGCACAGACGCTACCATGCTGCAGGAGCCGTCACACAGGCTCAACCAATGGCTAGGAGGGACATCAGGACCAGGCATCAGCTACAGGTAACTATGGAGTCTATGAACTTGGGAGGTTCTCCTCCTCCTCTACTCTGCCCTAGTGAGGCCTCATCTGGAGTACTGTGTCCAGTTCGGGGCTCCCCAGTTCAAGAAAGATGAGGAGCTACTGGAGAGAGTCCAGCGGAGGGCTACGAGGATGAGGAGGGGACTGGAGCATCTCTCCTATGAGGAAAGGCTGAGGGAGCTGGGCTTGTTCAGCCTGGAGAAGAGAAGGCTGCGAGGGGACCTAATAAATGTTTATAAATAAGTCAAGGGTGGGCGTCAGGAGGATGGGGCCAAGCTCTTTCCAGTGGTGCCCAGCGACAGGACAAGGGGCAATGGGCACAAACTGAGGCACAGGAAGTTCCGTCTGAACATGAGGAAGAACTTCTTCCCTCTGAGGGTGACGGAGCCCTGGCCCAGGCTGCCCAGGGAGGCTGTGGAGTCTCCTTCTCTGGAGACATTCCAGACCCGCCTGGACAAGGTCCTGTGCAGCCTGCTCTGGGTGACCCTGCTTCGGCAGGGGGTTGGACCAGATGACCCACAGAGGTCCCTTCCAACCCCGAACATTCTGTGATTCTGGGAGTCACCTTCTCAGAAGAGTCCTTCCTTCCACGTCTATAAGTAACAGGTTCTCCCTAGCTTCAAGCTCAGAAGCTGACAATTGTTCCGAATCTTCACTCCTCTAATGAAGCCAGCAAATAACATTTTTATGGCTATACAACCCCTTAGGAGAGATAGCACTCCACTTCAGCAATGCTTTGTAGCAATGAGTTCCATGGGATCATTTCGTGCTTGTAAAAAATCAGTCTCAAGTATTGTCTTTAAACTTTACCAAAAGTCCCTCTTTGCTGTTGAGTAGAGAGCTCCCGTACTTTTTTCCCCCCCTACTCTGACTGTATAATTCCTCTTAGTAACAAATTTGACATCAGCAGTGACCCATCGTTCCCATTTTCAGACTGTACCAAACCCATCTTTTCCCGTATTTTCACTCTGCGCAGCACACTCCCTCTCACAGTACAGGAATGGACTCCACTAAAGCCCCCCCCATTTTAGGGAGTGAAAAACCAGCAAGTACAAGCAGCCTGTTCACCTTCTGTCGTTCCAAATGAACCCCACCTCTCTCTCAAAACAGCTTCAAGCGTTTCTGTTTGTTGATAGCCAGGCTCCCCTCTTCCTGGAGGCATGAAAATCCTGCCTTACGCATATGGCAGGAGAGCACGCAGCCTGTTTCCACTTTACTCCTGATGTGGGGAATTGACAGAATCACAGAATCACAGAATCACAGAATAGCAGGGGTTGGAAGGGACCTCTGTGGGTCATCTAGTCCAACCCTCCTGCCAAAGCAGGGTCACCTACAGCAGGCTGCACAGGACCTTGTCCAGGCGGGGCTGGAATATCTCCAGAGAAGGAGACTCCACAGCCTCCCTGGGCAGCCTGGGCCAGGGCTC